ATGCCAGTTATCAGCTGCCTCCACAGTCAGACATTAGTGAGGCAGAAGAACAGCTGGAGCCTGTTCCCAGTGTGAGCATGTGCAGAGTTGCCCGAGGAAGGGAACAGCTAAAGAACAGGAAGTAAGGCCACAGGTGGACGGTGAATGGCCCCTCCCAGAGGAAATAAAAGAGGAGCACAAGGGGAGTGGAGTTTGCAGGAGGCAATTAGTTCATTCCTGCGTTCTTGCAGCGTCTGAAAGATATCGGCCTGGCCACTCTCCAAGCCTGATCAAGGTCGGTAATTGTGAGCCATCTTGAAAGACTGTGGGAGAGGAAAGACTTTGCGGGAGAGGAATTCACTGTAAATTAAATAAAAGGGGTTTATCGGGACGAGGACCCGTGCTGCTGGGGAAGCCTAGGTCAGAACAGCACTTTTGTAAAAGATTAAGCTCTGGTTTTGTAAAAATGAAGGCAAATAAAATGGAATTCTCCCTTGTAGGCACTTCTGGTTTACACGGCGGCCATTTACGCCAATATGGGCAACTACAAGTCCTTCGGTGACACCAAATTTGTCCCCAGCCTTCCCAAGGTAAGCGCCAAACGGAAGTCTATTGGGTGGGATCAGTTTTTTAACTTCTGCCCTTCAGCCAATTGGAAAGCTCCTTGGGCCTCATTGGGGAAGGGGTTGGTGGAGGGGGCGGAGTCTTGACAGTGGCTCCACCCCTTCTTGGGACTTGAACATTTTTACATTGATGTTTATTGTCATTTTTTTCCCCTCAGGTCCATTTCTTTATTTTCATTTTTATTTTGTTCCTCTCCCCTGTTTTTTTCTGTTTACTTTGATTTCTTGATATATATATATTATTTTGATATTTTTCCTCACTTTCAGTTTAGCTTTCTTCTAGTTTTCATTTTATTTTCATTTTTATTTCCTTTAATTATTTCTTTCCTCGTCTTTATTTTTATTTTATTTCAGGTTTTCCCTCATGAATTTTGCGTTATTTTCTTCTTGCTTTGGTTTTCTTTAAGTTTTCATTTTTATTCTCTTTCATAGTTCCTTTCCTCATCTTTATTGGTATTTTATTTCATTTTTTGTTCATTGTTGGTTTGAGTTTTTGTTGTCATTTTGGTTTTCTTTTAGTTTTCGTTTTATTTTCCTTTTTATTTCTTTTCCTTATTCCTTTCCTCATCTTTATTGGTATTTTATTTCATTTTTTGTTCATTGTTGGTTTGAGTTTTTGTTGTCATTTTGGTTTTCTTTTAGTTTTCGTTTTATTTTCCTTTTTATTTCTTTTCCTTATTCCTTTCCTCATCTTTATTTCTATTTCATTTCATTTTTTCCCATTGTTGGTTTGAGTTTTTGTTGTCATTTTGGTTTTCTTTTAGTTTTCGTTTTATTTTCCTTTTTATTGCTTTTCCTTATTCCTTTCCTCATCTTTAT